ATACTGGTTTAGACTGGTGTGTGTTGATGTATACTGGTTTAGACTGGCGTGTGTTGATGTATACTGGTTTAAACTGGTTTACCAAGAGAGAAGATCTCCCACAGTAAGATTCCATAAGACCAGACATCACTCTGAGAGCTGTAAATGTTCTGGAAAATACTCTCTGGAGACATCCATTTCACGGGCAAGAAGCTCTGAAAATGAAGACATATATCAAAGGACAGGCTCACAGTGTTTCATGTCCGTCTTAAAAACAATTTTAACAATAAGCATTTAAGCATTAAGTTTATTGATCAGTGGAACTGACGTTTCCTCTGGCGATGTAGTCCTGGTCCTTCATCAGATCTCTGGCCAAACCAAAGTCACAGATCTTCACCAGCTTCCCCTCACTGACCAGGATGTTCCTCGCAGCCAGGTCTCTGTGGACACACTGTGGGAGATGTAAACACGTAAAAACCACATGTGAACAATTAAAAACCACATGTAAACACATACAACAAATCACATGTGAACACGTATAAAACACTTATGAACACGTGAAAGAAAACAATCATTATGTATTGATGAGTAATGTATTGATCATTATGTATTGAAGAGTAACGTACTGATCATTATGTATTGAAGAGTAACGTACTGATCATTATGTATTGATGAGTAATGTATTGATCATTATGTATTGATGAGTAACGTATTGATCATGATGTATTGATGAGTAACGTATTGATCATTATGTATTGACGAGTAACGTATTGATCATTATGTATTGACGAGTAACGTATTGATCATGATGTATTGATGAGTAATGTATTGATCATTATGTATTGATGAGTAACGTATTGATCATTATGTATTGGCGAGTAACGTATTGATCATTATGTATTGATGAGTAATCTATTGATCAGTTAGGCATTGATTATTTATCTTACTCTTCTGGAGGAGAGGAAGTCCATGGCCTGGGAGACCTGGTAGGAGAAGCTGAGGAGGTCGTTGAGAGTCAGGAGAGGAGAGTCACTGAGGAGGACAGACGGCACCTCCTGCTGGTCTGAGAGAGAATGACAGGTTACTTCACAGACAGACAGCACCTTCTAGTTGATCAAGGTATGTGGAGATGCAGTACTTGTACACAATGTACTACAAGTATTACCTGCCGGTGTGTACGGCGTCTCGTACGCCGCAGGTTCGATGTCGGCGTAGCTGAGCTCCTTCCTGGCGATGTACTGTACGTTCTCTTCTTTATTCATGTCCATGTAACCTCCATCACTGTCACTGCAGGGACACAGACAGGCAGAGAGAGAGAGACAGGTAGAGAGAGAGAGAGAGAGAGAGAGAGAGAGAGAGAGACACACACCATCAATACACAGGCAGGTAGAGAGAGAGAGACAGGTCAATACACAGAGAGGTAGAGAGAGAGAGATCAGTACACAGACAGGTAGAGAGAGAGACAGGTAGAGAGAGAGACACCATCAATACACACACACACACACAGGTAGAGAGAGAGACAACGTCAATAATCAGACACTCAGAGAGAGAGAGACAGGTAGAGAGACAGACCTCTTGCTGTGTCTGTCTCTCTGTAAGAAGGTGTGTTTGTTCCTCTGCAGGTAGTTCACCAGGTCTCCATGGCAACAGAACTCAGTGATCAGATAGACAGGGCCTGGACAGACAGACAGACAGACAGTCAGACAGACAGACAGACAGTGAGACAGACAGACAGTGAGACAGACAGACAGACAGACAGACAGACAGACAGACAGACAGACAGAAAGACGGACAGACGGACAGAAAGACGGACAGACGGACAGACGGACAGAAAGACAGACAGACAAAGACAGATAGTCAGACAGACAGACAGACAGTTGATGTTCTTTAAACAAACAAACTGTGAGATTAAGTCAAAATTCATTAAGGACTAATTCAGCGTAAATCTGGGATTAGTTTGGAATGAATTTAGAGTTAGACTAGACCTAGATTAGGATTAAGTCAGGATTAAAACAGGTTTCATTCAGGATTAAATCAGGATTAAGTCAGGATTAAAACAGGTTTCAGTCAGGATTAAATCAGGATTAAAACAGGTTTCAGTCAGGATTAAATCAGGATTAAATCAGGATTAAGTCAGGATTAAATCAGGATTAAGTCAGGATTAAATCCGGATTAAGTAAGGATTAAATCAGGATTAAATCAGGATTAAGCCAGGATGAACACCTCCTCTCGTGCACGCTCCCAGCAGGTTGACCACGTTCAGGTGAGGACCAAGATGAACGAAAACCTTCAACTCCGACATCAGAGACTGAGCTGCTCCGCTGCTGGCTGATCACAAACAATCAGAGATCACATTGATTCACCACAGACAGAGAGACAGTCAGAGAGACAGGCAGGTACATACGTTTCACCATCTTCACGGCAACTTTCGTTGTAGAATGAGAGGAAAGCAGACCGGAGACGGACGCCATCACAACACGACCAAACGCACCTGAACCCAACACCTGGCCTGGAGACAGACAGACAGAGAGACAGAAAGACAGACAGAGGGACAGAAAGACAGAAAGACAGACAGACAGACAGAGAGAGAGACAGACAGAAAGAGGGAGACAGGCAGGCAGAGAGACAGAGAGGCAGAGAGAGAGAGAAAACCAGGTACATATTCAAATCTCCAAATAAAGAGTACATTTAGTGGTAGGATTAGCTTTAGAATGAAGAAGTACTGCGTGTTCTCAGAGTATTACCTAGTACTACTTTGTCTCGAGGTACTTCCCAGCTGGAGTCATAGGGCAGGTGGGCGGGGTTTAGGTATGAGTACAGCTGTCCGTCAGGACTCACCGACTCAATCAGCTTCCACCGGACTTCATAACGAGGTTTCTAACAAACACATTAAAGTACTAGTGAAGTACTACTACTGAACTACTACTACTAGTACGGAACTACTACTACTGAACTACTACTACTAGTACGGAACTACTACTACTGTACCACTTAAACAGCAGTACAATAGTACTACTGTACTGTACCACTGAATCAGAATCAGAACCGTTTATTGCCAAGGAAGTTTGCACCCACAAGGAATTTGTCATGGCGGGTGGTGCGTAACATTTAACAATCAACAACAATCAACACAGTGAAAGAAATAGAAAGATATTTAAAATTTACAACAGAATATAAAAGAATATAAAATAAAGTGCACAACAAACAGATAACAGGACTGTAAACAAGTGAAATGTTAAAAGTGTGGAGTGTGTTTAAATGAAGAAATGTGCAGGGGAGAGACCGGTAGGAGGTTGTCTTGGGGATGACAGAGTCTTTGTTCATGAGCCCGACTGATGACGGGAAGAAAGTGTTGGTGTGGCGTGAGGTCGACACTATAATACTGACTTTTCTCCAGAGGAGGATGAGGATGATGAGGAAGACGACGGCGATGACGACCAGAACCAGAACTGCTGCCAAGACTGCAACCTGAGACTGGAGAGCTGGAGACAGGTAGAGAGAGAGAGAGAGAGAGAGAGAGAGAGAGAGAGAGAGAGAGAGA